CTTGCATAATAGGTTCAATTTCTGAATGTTTATAACCTCTTTTTTCGAGATGAGTTTTGAAATCTTTAAAGATAGTTTGCAGTACAGCTTGATCACTAGTATTTCTCAGGAGTCTGGTACATTCTCCTTTATTTGGCCCTTAAAGCACTTTGCCTGTGCAAGTATTGGAAGCTGTTAGTAGGTTTGATATATGAGCGAATGTCTAAGCGCTGGTTATCTGAGAATCCTGTTCCTTTGTAAATGGTAGTGTCTAAGAAATTGACACTGGTGTGAGATATTTCGTAAGTAAATCTCAAATATTTATGACAAGAGTTTTCTATGTCAAAAAATTCTTTTATATCATCCAGGCTTCCATTAAATAAAATAAAGCCGTCATCCCTGAATCTACCACGATAAATAAGTTTGTTGGCATGTTGAAATTTAGATATTACATCATCAGTGATGTCTTTCATACGTATATCTGTAATTTCTGGTGACGGGAGTGTCCCAATCGCCGCGCCTATTATTTTTTTGTAGTATCGTCCGTTGAACTCGAAAAAAATATTTTCAAGTATACATCTGAGAATAAAGATAAGATCAGAACTTCAAGGTCGAGGTAATTCTAGATTAGAATTGTGTGCTAAAAATGCTTTCTCGACAGAATGTAGTAATTCATCAAATTCCATGTTGGTATACATGCTGGTCACATCATAAGTAACCAGAATGACATTTTCAGGTACAATAAGAGATTCGATTTTTTGTATAAAATCCGACGTGTCTTTGATGTATGATTTTTTTGTTTCTGAACAATGGGCACTAGGAAATGATCACAGTAATGACCTACATTTTCCGTTGGTGTGCAGCATTGAGAGATAATTGGCCGACCAGGTGGAATTTTCGGAGGCTGCATTGGCCTTTTAAAACTGCATCAAGCACTTGTTTGTTTATTTTATATGTATTTTAGGAAGCACATTTCAAATTGACATTTTTATTTGTGCTTGAAAACCGATAAATTTCCTTGTCTAAAGTTTTGTTTTGATACATCTAAAAAACTTCAGACTTGATGCTCTGATGTAGAGCTTCTAAATCAGGTTTTTCTGTCTCGACATAATAGGCAGAATCGAGTTGTCTCATACCTTCTGAGATATATTGATCTCTGTCCATTACAACAACTGTGTTGCTCTTGTCTGTCTTTTAAAATGCAATCCCAAGATTACTTTTTAATGGGACAAATGCTTCCCTCTCATGTTTAGTGAGATTGTCTTCAAGACGTTTGATTGGCATTGATGTTAATTCGAGTTTAGTCTTATCGATATACTTTTCTAATGCATCACAGGTGTGCTCTGGTTTGTAATCTGAGCGTTGTCTAAAAGGATGCAATAAGTTATCATCGGAATTGCTGAACAAATATTTGCACCTTAATTTTCGTACAAATTCGTCAAAATCTCTTAGTACAATGTTTTTGGAATTGTAAGACTTAGGACTTGGTATAAATTTTAGTTCTTCACTAAGAAGAGATTGTTCAGTACGTGCCAAACAATGTTTTGACAAGTTTAAAACTTGGATTCCAGTTTTCTCGAAATTATTCAGCTGCAAGTTACGAGCAGAGATAGATCGTACTCGTAAAAGAGCATTTTTAGATTTCTGTTCTCTTTTAAAATGTCTACCCATTTTGCTTGTCAGAAGGATAGAACACGTATGCGTTAGAAAAATTATCATCAATGCCAATTTGTTTGTAGCGCATGTGCAAGCTTGAACACGCCTACAATGTTTCAAACAAATATGATTGGTGGAGCAAATACAAAGTTTTAATCATGTTGAAAAACAGTATAAGCAAGGCAATATGATAAAATAAAGACATGAAAAAGGTTCAATTGGGAGTCCATATGAAACTTAAGCTATTTATCCCTCGGAAAATGGCCGAGTAGTTACGAATGACCGTGAAGTCGACATGCATATTCCAGTAAAGGTGGCAGAAGACAGTTTTTTTTTTTTTGGGGGGGGGGGGTTCAAACAAAACGTTTTTCTTAATATTGAACTGCTTGTAAAATGTGCATTGGAATACATGTATTTTAAATTCTCTCTATATGTAACAATAGCATGGTCTAGTCCCTTGCAGGATTTGAAGCATTAAGAAACAAAACACTTACAACTTACTCCAAAAAGCATTAAGAAACAAAACACTTACAACTTACTCCAAATCACAGAGACAATCACAGAGACAATCTCAAAATTTCACAAGTTTAACTTCCCAGAAAGCCTGAAATGTCATCCCTTGGGCTTCATTACTGTCACAGAATAAACAGTGGAATGTAAAATTTCTTCTCAGCTATTACAGGCAAAAGAATCGTTTTAAGGGGAGGTGGGTAGTCAAAAAAAAAATTACAACTTACATCTTACCTGAACAATCTTTGTCTAGGAAACAAGTTTGGCTTTCCAGAAAGCCTGAAATGTCATCTCTTTCGCGTCATTAATGTCACAAAATAAACAGTGGAATGAAACATTTTTTCACAGCTGAATCGTTTTTTTTTGGGGGGGGGGGGGTAGTCAAAAAAAAATACAACTTACTTGAACAATCTTTGTCCAGTAAGAAAAGGAGATTGTTCAAACTCGAAAATCCCATTTCAACAAAAAGAGTGGGGAAAAGGGGGGGCTTTCAGTTAGCAATTGAAAAAGGAAAAGATTGTTTAAATAAATTGGAATGGTGTGGCCCTTCTGAGGACACGTGCCTGTAATATTTAACCTGTGTGAAAATATTTTCAATTCATTTCAAATATTGTTTGGTACAATGTATTAAAAAATATAACCACTAACCAGTATTCGTAAAATTTGTAAACAATTGTTATACAAGCAGATGTATAAAACAGTAACCAAGAAGTTTTAAAGCGCTAACTTAAATTAGTCTGGCCCTCAATTGTTTTCCAAAGATTTTCCTTAGTCTCGTTCTCCTAAGTTAATTGGTCATCGAGTCACTTGGGATATAAAGGTGAAAATGAGCTACTCTTACATCAAAACCTTCTACTGTCCAGATTTAACCTTTAACGCTATATATAAGTACATGTACATGCTACTGAAAAAAAAAATAGAATAGAAAAGTGAAAAAAATGTCATCATGCAGTTTGATGTAACTTTTCTTGCAATACAAAAAAAAGCCTACTTTTAAACATATGGTTTTCTAAAGAAATAACTCTCAAATGAATTTAAATAGAGGTAAGTAATAAAATTTAAACGTTATCAGCTAAAATTAAGCATTTACAAATTATCTAAAAAGATTCAAATTTTTAAGCCGCTGTAGGACAGTCCAGGTAATAATATGTCTATTTACTAATGTTGGCTTTATTTCAAGAATAGGAGGTGATTTGTTATCTTTTCCCCCATTAACCAACAATGCAATTTAAAATGACATAAAGAATTCGAAAATGATTGCAGATGATTTAATTATAAATCTTTAAAATGCGAATCAGATGAAGAAATTGTATCTTTTATGCAGGGACAACAATATTGTGTTTCTGATATTTATTTTTAAAGAAACAAAGCAGAGAGCAGACATGCGTTAAAATGCTCACAATGATTCTTTATGATCATCCAATCCTGTGGTTTCTTAAATCACAGACATTTATGCATGTCTCTGCTAAACTTGTGCTTTTGATTTCTTTTTTTTTCCCCCTCGAAATAGCATTTGATGAATAGATTTGTGTTACTTCAAAAACGACAGCAAGTAATCGAATGACTAAAGTATACACAAAAGTAAAGTTTCGCCATCAATTCATACCAGCTGTATTTATGCATTTAATGCGAGTATTTGTGTAAATGTTTTCACTTTGATTTCGTTTTCTGTAAATTCATGGATCCACGCCTTGGCTGATCGTTTTCGATGCCATGTTCAGTACATTTTAATACACATGCGCCGCTCTGTCGATGCTTTACGCAATAGCCTAGATGACTACATGTATTTTGAAGACCCACCACTACCAAAGCGATTTTGTCTCTCTGACTTTTTATGATTCTTGTGTAGTTTTTTTTAGGATGGCCTGTTAATATTTTGTTTGATTATGAGACAGATCGCTCATTCTTTAAGCAGTTTTGTTTACATCTAACATACATGTATCTGTATTTAGAAATCGCGTCATTTGCCAGACCACCAGTTTATCAATGGCAGCTTACACTGGGACTTCACAGCCGGGTTTTAAACTTAATGTGTCATCTCTCGAGAGATATGAAAAATGAAAATTTAGCCTCTTTTCACTATTTCGCCAGATTCGTAACAACTTCCATGCCAGTGCTAATACCCTACGCTAACAAAATGCAGATTAATACCTGTACATACCACTGAACAGCAAGAGATATTGGATCAACTACTACTTTTCAAACTACTATTTTTTAACCCACCCCGCTTTCCTGAGGAAATCCCGGATGAGTAATTTTTTATTTTAGTTCCGTACTTGAATTTCCCCGTACTTCTATTCCATAAGTACATGTAGTGACACTAAGGTGTCATATATCAATAAGATATACAAAGCCACCAATTCCATCCAAATGCATACATGTACATAAAGTATCCAGCAATAAAATCACCTAATATATGCATTCAAAACTTAGGTTTTTCTATTTTTCTCATTTTTGAACGGTACTTAATCCGAAACTATCCTCTGCCACCTAAATAGACTAATGTAGTTGCTAGCACTTGAGAGCACTAGCAATAATTCAAAATTGTTCAGCAATTTTCTTCAGTATAATTTACAATGATTGATGTAAGATTTTATAGTTTGTTAAACATTATGCCATATTTAAAGTTTTTATAGAAAATAGCATCATTTTTTGTTTATAAAGAAGACTTTATTTAAGTATATTAATCACATTTAACACTTTTTTCAACAAAGAGCTTAAAATGCTCATTCCATCATAATCTAAAGTTAATCATTCTCAGCGAAGAATGTTTTCCCGTTTACATTCAGGAATGAAAGAAAACGATTTACTAGTAACCTTTTTTTCAGATGTATACATAAAAGTATCAAGATATCATGGCGACGGCTAAACAGGACGACTATCTTTTGGTGGCAGCAATAGACTTCGGCACAACATATTCTGGATATGCCTTTTCAACAAGGAACGATTTCACAAGAGATCCTACAAAGGCATATCTAAAGCAGTGGGTGGACCCTTCGAGTACAATGATGTACAACAAGACGTCAACATGCATTCTTTTCACCAAAGAAAAGAAATTTAGCAAATTTGGCTTTGAGGCTGAAGCAAAATACCTTGATCTGATTATTGACGATGAATATAGAGACTGGTATTTTTTCAAAAGATTTAAGATGTCACTTTACACATTAAAGGTATTTTTTCAACCAAGACTTTCAATTAGAATGATGGTTTCATATTGAGAGAAATATTAGATTTTAACCAAACTCATGTAACTATTTATTTACTTTATTCATCTAGTCCAGCGATCAAAACCTGGTTATTGAGGATGAAACTGGAAAATCCATGCCAGCTTTGACAGTCTTTTCTGAGTCAATTAAATATCTGAAGGATTCTTTAGTAGATGAGTGCCAGAAGCGGCACACAAGTCTTAAATTAAACGAAATCAAATGGATTGTTACGGTGCCTGCTATTTGGTCAGACCCGGCCAAAACCTTAATGCGTTCTGCGGCAATTACGGTATCGTTTATTCAAACTATGAGTTTTTGAAATAACTAGTAATATTATGAATACGTACAATTAATGTGCATTGATCTATCATTCAAATATTTCTGTTAAAAGAAATGTATTTTTTCTTATGTACATGTATATTAGAAAACCTATCAAATAATTTACTTATTTATTTACTTATTTAGTTGATAATACAGTGCATGTAAGTATAATACTATATGTTCTTGGTGTTGATTGACTCAGAAATGCTTACCATAGCTCTGGAACCAGAAGCCGCAGCATTGTTTGTGAAACATTTACCTGTGGAGAAGAAAATTGATGGCAAAGAGGGAGAAAGTTTTCAAACATTTGCTCCTGGATCAAAATATATTGTTGTGGACGCGGGGGTAATATTGTATTATTGAACAATCAATAAACATAAATGAAAATTGACGAAGGAGATAACATTGTTTGAGTCATGTGGTAATTTATTTTAAAAGTAGTTTATTAAATTAAAATTACTATGAAATTATTTGGTTTCAATCACAATTAAATTACTTTTTCTTGGATAGTTATTGCTTAAATAACAATTATTTTTTTTAAAAATATCATTTGTTTTGTAGTTTTTATAATAAGAAATTGTTTCCTTTTATTAACTTTTTTTGTAATTTATGAACTATGGATGATTCTGTGGTAATGTCATAAAGTTAATTATATACATTGTATAGTATAACGTCATGTCTCGTTTTGAAAGAGCACAATTTCTCATTTCTGACAGCTACTGCGATTCAGGTTTTCAATTTTTTCATTCATTCATTTACATTAGAAAAAATCTATCTCTCCATTTATTTATCTTCAAATGACATTTATACGAGTATTAAAAAAGTTTATTCACACCCATAAAATAATTTACCTTCATATCCATACCCAGATGAAATTTCGAGCTTCATATGAAGACTAGAATAAAAATAAAATAACAAGGTTAGAATACAATGTTCACAATATTGTATAAAATATGATATTATATCATTACATACTTTGTAGGAGGGACGATTGACATAACCGCTCATGAAGTGCTTGAGGATGGCACTGTAAAAGAACTTCTGAAGGCCACTGGTGGAAACTGGGGAGGCGTCGCTGTTGACGAAAGCTACATGAAGTTGATAAAGTGCCTCATTGGTGATGAAGTCACGAAAAAAATTGAAAAAGATCCACCAAGCATTTTCTTTGAAATATGCAGAGATTTCGAAATCGCCAAACGCACAATAAAACCCGACTCGGACATGAAATTTACTGCGAGGATCCCATCAGGACTTGCCGAAGAATATGCAAATGTCAATGTTGGAAAAAGCATGAAAACTCTAAAATCTGTTCAAATAAAAAGTAATCATGTGGTAGAAGTTTCATTTACAGGTGACAAAATAAGATTGGCGTCAAAAAATGCAGAAGAATTTTTCGCTGATTCCATATATAAGATATCCGAACATCTTTCAGAATTATTCAAACACGAATCAGGGAGAGAGATAACCACAATAATTTTGGTCGGTGGATATGCCGAATCTCCTGTCCTTATCAATGCAATTAAAGCGGAATTCTCTCACATGCGTATTATCATACCACAAGAAGCAGCCTGGTCTGTATTGCGTGGAGCAGTCATCTTTGGACATGACCCCCGTATCATCAAGCAGCGAAGAAGCAAGTTTTCCTATGGTATTAAAGTATGAGAAAATTTTAACCCTACCAAACACGATGAAAAATATAAATACGAAGACGGTGGGAGGGTACGGTGCAAAAACCTTTTTAATAAGCTAGTAGAGATCGACGAACTGGTGACCGTGGGTGAATACCAAAAGGAAAACAAATTCAATATTCATCAAGTTAGAAGTCAGGGAAACCTTTCTCTTTATTCCAGTACATCAAAGAATCCAATGTACGTTGATGAAACTGGGTGTTCGTTTATTGGCAACATCTTATCTCCAGGTCATGAATTTCTTCTACATAACACTATTCACGTAAGAATGTGCTTTGGGGAAACAGAGATAGAATTAAAAGCGTATCAGCCAAAGAGTCAGATAACGGCTACTTTTTATTTGGGACAATAAACCGATTTTAAATTATGTTTCAGTGAAATTTCTTTCAATTTTGTCAAAAATTTTTAATTAAAAACTTGATAGTTTAAAGTTTTGAATAGGTCAAGGAAAGTCCGTATTTGGATTCTTCGACACCAGAATACTGATGATTATTGAATACTGGTGAGTACTGTGATTATTGATCTTGCAAATCACATGCTCTTTAAACCGCCACGTTTGGCGGAAGAAAATACCGCTCAAACAACGCATTTGTTCCTTTAACTTCAATATACCAACAAGGGAATTAACGCAGTTAATATAAGTGATATTCTGCTGGTGGACTGTTGATACAAGCTTGAAAATACGGATATATGTATATTTAATTGCTGTGGTAAAATTAAGAAATTTATTTCAAAATAAAGGATTATCTCCTTTATGCATAGCTCTGATCCTTTGACGTATTTGATTCCAGTCTTTGGAATCCCTTTTTTTCAGTCTTTCAAAGTTTTTTAAATTTAAATATTTTGGATTTCCAACGTTTCGGCGTCAGCATCACTGAAGAGACAATTTGTCGAAATGCGCATCTGGTGCATCAGAATTGGTACCGTATAAGATTCATATTATGACCCCTGGGTCGAGACCTCTGCAGGCTATTTTTTTTATTCATATGAAGCAGGAGTTATTCAGAAATTTCTACACGAGAAGAAGAAACATTGCTGTGGAATTCAACTATACATTTAGATATATCGACGACGTATTATCAATTAGCAATAGTTACTTCAATTCATATGTCGACTCGATATATTTCAATGAGCTCGAAACAAAAAATACCACAGAGTCTAACACATCTGTTTCATATTTGGATATTTTACTAGGAAGTCATCATTTCGTAAGTTTTATAGTCAATGCAATGACCTTGTCAGCAAATACAACCAATCATTAAGTTAATGCTGACTGACGTTTTTCATACTAATTGTTAGGCCATTATTTACACACTGAATTGTCGACGGATTTTTCCGTTATTTTCCGATCATGACACGGAGCACACGGAGGGTGTGACCGTCGGCATGGGATGCTCACTCCTCCATGACACCTGATCCCACTTCTGATGTTTTAGAGGTCCGTGTTTGCTCTTCTTCCAATTTGTACTGTTTAAATGGACTTGATTATTGTTCGTTATCTCCATATGTCATAGTACATATTTCAATTATACTGTATTAGACTTCATGAAAGAAACTATTATTGTTGCGGCTTAACGGTTATGATATTGTAGGGTTATTATTTATGTAACTTTTTATTCGAAAGAACTCATGTCTATTTAAATGTAATTAAGCGACACTGCCTGCTAGCGAAAATTTAATTATCGCGTACATTTGAAGTAGTAAAGATTTTATTAAACAATGACCAAATTTTCTGAAAATTATGTCTCGATTATATATACCAAATGGTCATCCCGCAAAAATAAGGAATCGCGAGAACTTCTTGATCTACAGTACAAAATCTACATTATGTATGTTATTTCATGTATTTTATATCAAATAGCATAATTAAAGACCTATAGAACTCTTTGATAGGTTCACCACATATAAGAAGTGCAGGGTAAACTTTTTAGGTGAAATAAGGTTATATATTTCAGACGTATTTTCCAGTTATCGTATTTAACATCTAAAATCATCATTAATAAAAATGTAACCAAAATCTCATTTGATTTTCCCCAATAATTCATGAGTTATTGAAACTCATATGACGGTACCCCCGAAAGGTGAAAAATGAGAAGTCTCATTATCTCACATGTCTCCCTCGCGCATCTATCACAGCCTTGATTCTCCTACGCATGGAGTTCATCAGTGTGTTTATCCTTCTAATAGGGATATTTTTCAGCCCTTCCGAGAAGGCAGCCCATAGTTGATTGAGTCCAGCTTGGACATTTTAAACCCTATCGTCCACGTAGTCCCACAGACGTTTGATGCGAAAAAGATGTACTTGACAGAGACCAGTGAAGTGGATAAATGTGATTGTTTGCGAGAAACTCTTGACAAACCATGGTAGCATTGGGAGGGGGTTAACATGCCCAAAAATAGGCAAAAGAAGCACGCATGCGCGAGTTAGAGGAACACTTAGGTAAAGTTGACGAGCTCACAAACCAAAATCGCGCTATCGATTTCCTTCAGTTTTGGGGTGAATGTAACGATTATGATAGCTTGCTGTATTAATAGCAGTTTTGGGGTAATGTGATGGTGATTATACAAGTGGCAGGATGAATAGCCCGATCTTGACGTGGCGCTGTTACGCGTCAACGTCATCATCACGGTTGGTTGGAAACCTTTCTACGCCCTCTCTTAAGACGAGTAAGACGTTCTATTGTGGAAAAATTCACAACAAACTGCACAGAAACCTGTCGTTGCCTTTGTCCTTTCTTAGGCTATGTAATAGCCAGACCCCATGGTACTTCCGTCAACCGTACCTTGATTTAAAGAAATGCAAATCGACTGTTATTATCGAACGTCATCCCGCAAACTAAGGAATCGCGATAATTTCTTGATCTACAGTACAAAATCTACATATGTGTGTTATTTCATGTATTTTATATCAAATAGCATAATTAAAGACCTATAGAACTCTTTGATAGGAATTAATATTTTCTGATCATAGCAGTAAGACTGGAACTTTCCGGGCATTTAGGCTTGCTTTATAGTAGCCACTGATGACACATATTTCAATATGTATGTGAAATGACATTTTCAAATAATTCTGCATCCATTAGTCATATAATTGTTTAATTATATCACAAATGTATAAAAATTAATGTCCTGGACGCCACTTTTGGCAATCAATGGCATAATTTGTTTAATCTCTGGATATTGCATCAAAACTGTTTAAAATAGTAGTTACAGTAACTAATGATACTATTTTGTTTTAATTATTTATGCATTTGTCATTATTTTTTGCTTTATTATATATGTATCGTTTGAAAACTTTATATCATTTTTGGCTACTATAACATTACTTTTTTCTCTAACTTCAAACACATGCACTACGGTAATTTTATCTCACAAAAATATAAAACCTTAGCTAATAGATTACAAGTAACATATTGCCGCCAACTTGATTTTTTTAATTTGTGGACATTGGTGGCAGATTTATTTATTGTTGCCAACATGCAATATAAGCAGAGATATCTGGCACAAAACGTTGTCGGACTGGAATAAGGAATTTAAATTAATGACGAGTACTTCTTTTATTCCTGTATGATGGATGACCTTGCAATTTAGTCAACTGTAAAAAAAAAACTAGTATTAATTGTAACGGGGACCGTTACAGATGTTCCCCAAACGCTCCCCAACTTCCTTTTGGTGTCTTATTCCCTGTAAGCTTCATTAAAGAAGGCAATCAAGATATAGGTTTTTTTACGCATTATACGCGCGCGCACGGGCATGCATGTACAAAATGACCATGTCAACTTGTCTACACTTTTAATACATCTTTATATTCAAATTTCATCAAAAGATAAAAAAAATCGGCTATATGAAGTATATCTGTTATTTTACGCATTGCAAGCGCGCGCACGTGCATGCATGTCCATGATGACCGTGTCATCTTGTCTACATTATTAATATATCCTTATATTCTGAGTATCAAAGTATTTCATCAAAAGATATGAAAGTTATGGCTATATCAAGTATATTGGTCATTCTACTCATTGCACGCGCACGCACGTGCATGCAAGTGCATGCATGTGTGCGCTGATCATGTCATCTTGTGTACACTTCTAATATATATTTATATTCTGAGATTCAAAACAATTCATCAAAAAAAGTACAAGTTAAGTCTATATCATTTGTATTGGTTATTTCAATCATTGCGCATGCGCACACGTGCATTCATGTGTATTCTGACATGTCATCTTGTCTACACTATTAATATATCATGATATCCTGAGTATCAAAGCATTTCATCAAAAGATATGAAAGTTATGGCTATATCAAGTATATTTGTCATTTTACTCATTGCACGCGCACGCACGTGCATGCACGTGCGCGCAAAATGACCTTCCTTCCGCAAATCTACATAACATTCCTATTCACCCTAAAAAGGTTTCACCTCAATCGGATGTGTAGTTTCGGAGATCACTCACGGACAAAAAAGTACCCAGGAAGAAAAATAATAATAACTAGAAACTCATTGCGAGCAATGAGAGGTCTTCCGTCCGATTCTGAAAATAAAAACGAAAATTCAAGCTGAAAAAGTGATAAAAGAAATTGAGACACTCTGGAGATTGAACCCTCGTCGTCAGAGTGAAAATCCAACGTGCTAACCATTAACCATTCACTTTTTTGCATCACTTCCTGTCACCACCGGAAGTAACGGCGACACACGATTTTCATACGATGCAAATAAACTGATGACGGACTATCAGTCCTGAAATTTTCAGACTTCAGTCGTTTATTGTTGCCGAGCAATTGTGAGAAGAAATTCTAATTTTGAGGACAGGAAAACACGCGACCGGAAGTGAATCTTATAAAAAAAAATCTCCAACGTGTCTCCAGACATTTGCAATATCTACAACATGTATTTAAACATTTCAATTCCTTTTCTATAAGCGATATTTATGAGAAAGTTAAATATCGAAATAACGTATTTTATCTCCTAAAACCGGAAGTTGACGTTTTTTTTTCCGGAGGAGTCTAACATAT